ATATATTTGACATGTACCCATTTTTCACCTGGTTACACATGTCTACATGCCTAAATGCACTGAGTTGCCGCCATGTGATTGGCTGATTAGAAATTAAGTGTTAACGAGCAGTTGGACAGGTGTACCTAATAAAGTGGCCGGTGAGTGTATAAAAGAATAAGAAATAAGAAACACTTTTTCACACTCCTATATTAAATAGAGACGTATTGATTCTTAGCTCATTTACTTTAAAAACACTGCATAATTGCTATTTTCTTGCCATACATATCATCAGCTTATAAAAATATAACCAAAAACCAGTTCGAACACAATATAATATAAAAACCTTCAAAAAAAATGAATCCAGCAAAATTACTTTTAGGTAAATGTTATCATCTCAGTTTTTTCTTAGTTAAACAGAAGTCAGTTTGTTATTTTAATCATTGCTTTTCATTTGTTACAAACATTAACATTTTCTATCATTCATCTTTAAACTGTGAAGATACCTATTCATTCAAAACATATGTTTATGATAAGTCAGTTTTTGTAATTCTTAAAGTTTGATTTAGTATATGTTACACAAATGAATAGGAGCTTTATCACTAAAGTGTTTATTTTTTTTGATTGTTAGATTTTTGAAGATTTAGTCACCAAATGGCTAATCCCAATCCATACTCTGGTGTTTCCCTCATGAGTCTCTCATGCTGTTGATGGACTCAAGCTCAAACATCTCAAACATCTTGGGCAGCAGCTGCCGACAGATGTTTTTTTTTTTTTCCTCTGCTGCTTACTTTCAATAGGCTTTGCATATCAGCACCTGAACCATTCGTCCAGCAGCTGTAAGCTGTAAGACGAGAGACTCTGTAGAGGCAGATGAATCATATTCAGGTCAGCAGCGAACTAAATAGCCTGCAGGTAGGAAAACACCAGATAAGATGGGACGGCGCTAACTGGTTTGTATCAAACAAACATTTATAATCGAAGACTCAATGAAAACAAACATCCCTCTGAGATATCTGAATGTGGTTCCTTTCCTGGCCGGTGTCTCGGGTTCAGACCAGCAGCTGCTGAGGTGACAGGAGCCAGCTCGCTGTTTGAGATCTCTTAAGAAAAGGACTTGTTAGCTCATACATTACCACAATCAGGCCTGGCTGTCTTAAGCCACAATTAATCACAGCCCTGGCACGCGCAGATAGCAGAGCAACACACTGTTTCTTAATTAAAAGCAAACAGATTAAAAATGATTAATAAGGGCATTAAATGTTTTTGTGGACCTCAAGCATGACTGTTCAAGAGAAGTAGGAGCCTATTAACCCCCCATCCCCACCCCGCCCCCCTCACACACACCCCACCACCGCCCCTCACTACCAAATCTTTGTTAAGCCCTCCAGCCTGGCTTTGTTTGGGATCAGAAATGCCAACACTCATGAATACTAATTTTCCTAACAGGCACAGTCAACAAGACTTCAAGCTCTCAATTTTTTGTCAGTCATTGTTGATATTTGTTGATTTCAAAATGTTTTTTTTTTCATATGTACAGTATATATACTGTATGTAGTACATACATTTACATTAGCTTCATTATCTTTTTTTTTGTTGTTGTTTGCCACGAGGTCACACTCCCATCCCAAAAGAATAATACTGGTTTCTCTTTTTTTTAATTCTATAAAGGCTTTTTGCTCACTATGATTCATCCTCTGTCCTTCAWCGCCTTTAGGCTTATCTGTGGGATAACAATGAAGAAGTGGTGGGATGGCTGGAGAGGCAGCTAGCAGAAGAAGAGGGCGCAAGATCCATTATTGACGAAAACATCAAGTATATCCGCCGAGATCACCTCCTCAAGCAGATTCGCAGGTGATCATTTTTAACAATGACGCTTTAATGCAATAAAACCTTTAATAAAAAGCTCATTTTCAGCCTTTTTTTTTTTTTTTGGTCTTCTTCCAGCCTCGTTCAAGCTAATCCCGAAGTAGCTATGGATTCCATTGTTCACATGACCCAGCACATCTCACCTACGCAGAGAGCCGAGGTGGTGCGTATCCTATCCACTATGGAGACGTCAGCCTCCTCCTAACAGCCTCTAATCACCCTCACTGGCTGGGACGCAGCTCGGTACCCGACGGCAGCCAGGAGAGCCCAGGCTCAGCCAGCTCTGCTCCTCTCTGAGARCTGGGCTGGAAACTGAGGCAAGAGGAGCCAATGTGACGGACCCCTGGCAGCTGCCAGGTTACTGATGAATTGTTGGCAATGATTCTCTGCAAGATTTTAGGTGATTGGCATTAGCTATTGTAAATGAGCTTGTGTGTGTTAGTTTTCACTTAGGTTTGTGAATTTTTGGTTTTAAGTGCAGTTTCAAAAAGACATTGTGAGTTACATTGTGACTAGTATTTAAAAATGTGCTAAGAGTTTACAAAGAAGGCTTGAAAGGATGCTTCCATATTAATCACTGGCTTCCATCCTTTTGACCTGGAGTGTGCACAGTAATATTTTTAGCCCTGATAAAATGCACCTTGCTTTGTGACATATGCTTGTTAAGATTTACAAGTGTTTTGATGACAAGCTCACCGCTGACAACACATCACCTGGGGAGTTTGCCAAAATGGGCCGAGGGGGTGTTGCTCGACTAAATGAGAAGCACTTAGTTACTGAACAAAGACGGGGAACACTAAAGCAGATTTTGGCCGAGGTCGCCCAGCAGGGAGCGGGGACAAGGGTCCCTTTTAGACCCCGACTGTTTCACAGTTACCCTGCAGTGAGCAGTGGGCACCTCGCCTCACAACAAAACCACAGCTGTCCCTTCTGTTCTCACGCCACACATGCTGCTTAACAGGCACTTTAGTGCTTACTGTTCCCTCACACTGCAGCCAGAATCAGACCTGCACCGTTTGCACTGCTGCAGATCCCAGACAAACATGGAAAGGTGCGCACGCACAAAGTGACACAAACTGTAACGCGCACAGAACGAATCAAAGCTTGAATAAGAAACGCAAATGGATACATTTACAGTGGATAAACGGCAAAATAATTACTTTTTAGAACATAGTTGTAGTTGCTTTTGCACATTTGAGCACCACAACAGCTTTAGATCTTTAACCAAAGATACTTCAGTGAATTTACTTAGTCAATAAATATTAATAAATATTTATCCTAAAATAAACCCTGCTCTTCACCTGAACATGTTAGACGTTGGTGTCTGATTTTAACTCAATTCCATTAATATGTTTATATTTATAGTTATGTTTCTGAATTGTTACTTATTAATAATTCCTGAAGGCAAAAATCTGAATTACATATTACCGTTTTGAGTTTGTTACTAAAAGGCAAGAAAACACTTTCATAAAAAAACATATCAAAACAACTTTGCATTGTTTTTACTTGTTTGTTTTTGTTGAAATGCTACTGAATTTGTAGACAGTTTTGTGCCTTCTCTGTGTTCATATTCAACTGTAGACCAGATGCTTCATAAGTAACGTTTTTGTTATTTTTATTTTTAATTTTTTTTTTGTCTAAGGATGGAGTTAAGTTGATGAGTGATAAGCTCTAAATGTCCTTAACTCTAATAAAGCTTATCAACTTGGTTCAAAGTGTGTTTGTGCAAAAAAAAAAAAAAAGACTTCATGTTCTACTAAAAAGCATTTAATAACCAAGCAAACTCAAGTTTTCAAGAATTTGCACTAATTTAATTTGACAAAAATMTCCATATATTGATGATTCATGACAGATAATCACATCACAGGAAGCCTCATTAATTTTCAGCAGTCAGAACAAAGTTTGTCAGTCCAGAGAGACGTTATCTGATTACTCAAATCCACAGATAATTATTAAAGTAGCATTTTCTTTCTGGGTTATAAACTTCAACAGTATTAAGGAGGATGAAGCAGATCAAACAAATATTGAGGGATCTATTTCATCCTTTTTTCTGTTTCTTTTATATCATCCCCTTGGCTCTGTCAACTCTATTACCATCCAACCAACAAATATGTAAGACAAATTGAGTTGCATGCACCCAATACCCACCACAATTATAGCAGACCCAATAAGAAAATGAGTCATTTGGATGTATAATTGGAAATGTGCCTTGCTTGGTCTCCCAGGTCTCCCAGAGGGTTTTGCTCATTTGTGGTGGCACGCAAGGCTGGCTAATTCTGCTTTTAATCACTGACAAACTGCAGAATCAGGTTAGTCCTCAGCCACCAAAGGAAGAGGAAGAGTTTGCTAATACTTTCAAGAAATTACCAAATTGCTAGTTAACCAWGCAGACCCAGCTTGTGGATTAAAAAGAAAATCTTATCTGCCTTGTTGATCGCCTTCAACAATTAAAGCCTTCAAATCTTTTTAGTAAAAACTTATTTGGAGAGTTCTCCCAATTGCCTAACCTCAGTGACTGCTAGTTTTAGGCAATAACAGTAACACAAATCTATGAGTGAACAGCAAGAAATCTTAATGGAGAGAAAAAAAGAGGGAAAATCAGTGTCTGCGATGAGACTGAAAAGCAGGCATTAATACAGCAGAGGCGAGACACAATCACGCATCCGAGGCGCCCATAATTCCACATTCACGCGTCTCAATGACTTGACGGCACTTGAGAGACAAAGCCTGTGACCCAGTTGCAGGATTCCAATTAGTGGGGTGTATGCAACAGTTGATATGAAAAGAGAGCAGGGTCTTTACAGAGCCCCGGGGCTGTCTGATTACTGCCTGAAAACACGAGTCTTTTTGCCCGTGACAAAGAGTGGAGTGACACCGAGGGAGTGCCYGGCCTCAGCTGCTTCGCCTCTCTCCAGGCTGAGGATTTTGAAGAGCTCATCTCATCTCTGCTGTGCATGCCAGCCTTTTTTTTTTCTTTTTTTTTTCTTTTTTTGTTAACATTTCAACCAGACTTGAAGTGTACAGCAGCAGTCCAGTCACACTAAGGTTTCCCTCAGACATGTCAGGCCTGTTAAAGAGATGGCAGTTTCCTGCTAAACACCAATCTAATCTGGGATAAGTGCAGTAGATTGAAAACTGTTAAGCAGTTGCATTTTGGGGAAAGAATAGCACTTGATTTTCTACAAAAATCAACTTTTCTAAAGCTCAGAGGTATAAAAGRAGCTTTAGATTTAGTACTCAGAATATTGATGTTCTTCAGAGTTTGAAAACATGAACCAAAAGCTTTYAACATTGATTTTGGAGTTCTTTTTTAGTTTTGCTGATCTGCAGGCTTTGTATTTTGAAAGGCACAAAACAAACCCATTTTCCAGAGTAGATCCACTGTTTTGATAAGTTTRGTTTCCCTTGCAAGGAGAGTTCAGAGTAGAGTTGGGCAATATTGGCAAAAAATATATCACAGTTAAGTCTGGCATTTAGCAAAATAAAAACATTAATCTGATGATTGACAGCATGTGGCCAGACATCGAGGCRTTAGTCTGCATTTTTTGGGTTTTCCTCATACTCCAGTGTTTCAGGTTAAACAAGTTCTTATAGGTTAGGGTTAGCATTAGTTGCTCTGCGCTGTCTTCCACCATTTGGGTCACACGAGTGACTGATTGTGTTAGTGTGTCGCACACAAAAATGCATCATCATCATATGGCACTAATTGCAATAACTGCAAACTGGCAAATATCAATTGTTGACAGTTAGATTTTGCCCAACCCAGAGACAACAAAAATCCCTCTAGGTGGGGGGGTATCTGTCACACAGATCGATTACAACTTTCCCTGATCATCACCACATAATTCACACATTTTTAGCTCACTCCAGCTAAGTAAATATTTAAATAACCCCATTAAAAAAACAATCAGAAGAAAAGGGAGATTATATGGATGTTTGAGCTTCAGAAAATAAAGATTTAGTAAGTTTCTGCCCTTAGAAATAAAAGCTAAACATCCATCTTGCTTCAAATTTTAATATTTAAAATTCAAACATCAGAAATATTGTAAATGACCAAATTGGATGCCAAAAAGCTTCTGTGTATTGTGGAGCAGGTGAAGCTGCTGCCTGTAACATGCCCACCGCCCTCTTCTTCCCAACATTAACATTCATGGAGCCAGTGGAGTGTGGCGAGCCGAACACATCAAGCCAACCAKGAGGTGGAGGATGAGGGGGGAGGAGGAAAAAGATGGAGGCCTGAACGTGGTTGGCGAAAGAGGATGGGGGGGTGGGGGTTTGAGAGGCTGGAGGATGATGCTGAAGGTTGCCCGGTGTGGGATGGTGGAAAAGGTCAGCAGCCGCGACGCCACGTCTGTGGTCATACATCATAATTATCACCGTGGGTCATTGACTGCTGTAGAAATTATGGGGAGCAGCGGCAGGTCTGCGTGGCGTGCTGAGGGGAGTGGGCAAGGCCAGGTGAGCTACTGTTACCGAGTCTTGAAGTAAATGTCAGTAAAAATACGGTTCAGGCTACACTGGCAACACGACTCCGGGGAGGGGAAAGTTGTTCTGTTGGACTGTAACCTTGAGCCAGACTGAAATATGTCAACTCCTGAGTTGATTGAAATGCAGAGAAACTTTCTACAGGATGAATTTGTGACTTTGGTGACCCCATGCATTTTCTTAGTGCCACTGTGAGCCTGACATTTGTAGCAGGGCACAATAAAAAGCAAAGAAAACAATAAAAATATTGATTCATATATTCAATTACCTTAAACCAGAGGTGGGCAGTAATGAAGTAAATTTACTTGACTACTGTACAATCAAAAATAAATGTTGATTTTACTTAACCAAGTTGTCTTATAACTTGATTAAATAGATCCAGCAATCTGTTTTTGAGTGTATTCAAGTACAGTTTTTGAGCATTTGTATTTTACTTGAGAAGCTTTTTTTTACGTTTTCCTTTTATCCACTACGTTTTAATGATAAAATCCTACTGTTTACTTTACTACATTTCTCCAAAGACTTTAGTTATTATTTTTTGGCTGTATTTGTGTYGTTTACATCTATATTTTTTTTCCACCGACACATTGTAAAAATACACACCTCTCTGTACAGTAGGTGATAATATGCAGCTTTTAACTGGTTGCAAGTTGAAGAAGAATTACTTTTATCCTACATATAGGTACACTAGACATGTTTCAAGTCTTGCCCTTTGGTGATTATGTAGAAACTAAATGAGCTGACAGGTTTTGTAAAAGATGTAAAATTGATAAGATATAGATTTAAGTGGTGCAGGGAGGGTTCATTGTGCAACCAGAGCGTTGCCGTTTCAAATCCCTGCCTGAGCGCATACTGTTGTGTTCCTGGGTAAGACCCTTCCCCATGTATAAATCTGTTGGTGTGACTGTGGTCTGGAGGGACCATAGCTGCAGCATGTCAGCCACACATCCACCATCGAGTGTGACTGAGGAGATAATGAATAATGCATGAAACTATAAAACAAATTGAGCATCTAGAAAGACAAATGCATATTACTGATCTGTCCAGTATAGCAGAAAAAATTCCCAATTATTGTTGACTACAATGAAGTGAAATGCATTGTTTAAAAAAATCTAATTTTTTCTACTTTTAAGACTTAAGTATTTTTGAAAGCACATACACACTCGAACTTAAGTAACAATTTGACAGAGCTGCTTTTACTTTTATTGGAGTAATATTTGACCAGTAGTATCAATACTTTGACTCAAGTATTGAAGCTGAGTACTTTGTCCACCACTGCTTAAAACTCCGTTTCCTGTCTCGTCATGTAAGCAAAACATCTGGCKGTTGCTGTTTTTGCCAACTACAGAGGAGTCACACTTCTCATTCTCCTTGAAACAGTTTACTCCACAGGGATTGGAAGACAGGCACCGACTAGTTGCTGAACCTCAAACTCAGGCGGAGCAGTTTGACTTGTTCTGGTTGTGGAACCGTGGACCAGAACTTCGCCCTTGCAGAACTGAGAAGGCAATCATGGGAGTTTGACTCACCGGTCTGTATATGTTTTGTGGGTTTGAAGAAGATTTATGTGTTTGGTTCCCTGATGCTTTCTCTGGGGGTTGCTGGGAGTACAGGGTGCTGTGAGCGTTTTTTAGGTTTATCATGTCCCTGCATAACCAAAGCAAAATATTTGCCTGCATTCTCAGCCCATTGACAGTCTTGTTCTTTGTGTAGCTTTARTGATCTTTGAATAAAACTTAGCAAATCAAACATTATTATCTACTTCTGAATATCTCCYGATTTGCAAGTTCCAATGATCGGTATTGAGTGAAGTTGAAAGGCAACCAGGTAAAAACTCTGACAGAGCAAAGACTTTGAGAGACGAGGCGTTCTGGCAGACACAGAGTTGCTGACAATAAGGTTTCAGTTGAACGCAAACATCAGTCCAGGAACGTTTCATTTTGAGACGTGTGCCACATTAAAATGCATGTATTGCCAGCTRGTCAGCGTAGCGTAGAAAGTCATCTCCAAATGGATCTGTTGGCTTASTGCTTCCCATAGTGTCTGTGAAATGGATGGATTTAGGACCGGTGTCCTTTAGCTCTGAAGGACACACACAGCCAACTTGAGAAATTATTGTGCTCAACAACATTGTGTCATTGTTTTAGTCTAACTTGTAAGTTTTATATATATATATATATATATATATACTGTATACAGTGTGCACTGACACACATAGCTTTAA